CAGCCACGGTTTAATATTCTGCTTAAAGATAGTCATTATTATCCTTATCTGGAAATTACCAGCGGGGAAAATCCGCGTTACAAAGTAGTACGAAAAATCAACCTAACCAGCCCCAATGAATATTATGGTCCTTTCCCTGATGGCAGTAAAGCCCACGAAATATTACAGTTATTAGAAAGGTTGTTTCCACTCGCAAAATGTAAAGGGAATTTAGGTAAACCATGTTTTTATTATACTATTAACCAATGTTCTGGTCATTGTTGACAAGTGGTCGCTAAATCCTACTATGAAAATATTAAAAAAGAAGTCAGAAAATTTTTTCAAGGTCAAACTCAGGAAATAAAAAAGAAAATCAAAAACTCCCTGCGAAAAAATATTACTAATTTGGCTTTTGAAATCGCCCAAAAAGAGAAAAAAATACTGGATAATATTGACTTTTTTACTAGTAAACAAAATATTGAATTTCTCAAAGGAGAAAATTGTGATTTTTTGGGTATCCACCAGCAAGAAAATGTCCTAGCTTTTTATCTTCTTATTTATCGTTATGGAAAATTGGTGGCGACTGATGAAGCAGCCTTTCCGATTTGGGGTAACCAAGAAGAAGTTTGCGAAACTTATCTCTATCAGTTTTACCAGAAGAATTTGCCACCCCAAACACTTTATATTTCGGAAAAATTACCCAGTCTCGAATTATTAGCAGAAGAGTTTAAATTTTTCCTAAAATCACCCCAACGAGGCCGCAAAAAGGAAGTAATTAATTTAGCTCAGCAAAATGCTCAGCAAGTTTGACAAAAGAACTATTGAAGCGAGTTTCAACAGGTAAATAAAGGTCAGGTATTAACTGAAATAAGTAAATTATTAAGTATTCCAGTACCAAATTATATCGAATGTTTGGATATCTCTAACCTTTATAAGCAGGATGTAGTGGCTGGTTTTTTAGTTTTTATTAATGGAGAAATTAATTTAGCCAAAAGCAAGTTATATAAATTAAAAGAGAGTGAACAAGCAAGTGATTTGTCTCGAATAAAGACGGCTTGCCGTATTCATTATCAAAAATATTCGCCAGGAACGTTGCCTGACCTAATAATAGTAGATGGAGGAAAAGAACAAATGAAAGTAGTCCAGAAAACTCTAAATGAACTAGAATTAAAAACGGTAGTAATTGGATTAGCCAAGGATGAAAAACATCGCACTGCCAAAATAATTACTAACAAACCAAAAGAGTTGGATTTTGGGAAAAATGAGAGAATTAAGAATTTTTTAACTAATTGTCAAGAAGAAGTTCATCGTTACGCTATTAATTTCCACCGCAAATTACACCGCCAAA